TAAATCAAAACAGGGAGAAATAACAGTGAAAAGGGTAAAATAATGGGTAAATATAATGGGGTTTCCTTCTCTTTTTGTATTTTCTAAATTATGTTTAACAGTTAAGGAAAAATTATAACTATAACTGATGTGGTTATCAATCTATATAGAGGAAATATTCAAGATGACTGGGATATTATATACATATGTGAATTCTTTGAATTTTTAGTAGCCTCTTAAAAAGTCATACAAAGGGATGCACTCAAGCACTATCAGTTAAAACAGAATTCTAAAAACTGTTTAAGTAAACTGCATGTAGGCAAAAGAAACTAGAGTTCATAAGAAACAAAAATAAAATGGCCCTAACATATATATGATTATATCAAATGTAAAAGCTCTAAATACATCAATTAAAAGACAGAGTTTGGCAGAGTAGGGTGGGGGGAAAGCCATGCTTCAACTATATATTGTCTCCAAGAAACCCACTTCAAATATGTATTTCCAAAGGATTATGTTGGGTGTCAAAATGTCAACATCAAAGGTTAAGCCAATGTCAAAGGTTATATACTATACGTCTCCATTTATATAACCTTCTTAAAATAAGAATATAATAGATATGGAAAACAAATCAGTGATAATTTCTAGGAGTTAGGGATGGTGGGAGAATGGGCTGGGTGTGACTACAAATGGATGGCACAAAGGAGACCTTAGTAGTTTTGGAATTCTTGTGTACCTTGATTGTGATGATGGTTATAGGAATCTACGCATGATAAAATGATACAGAACTATACACATACATTATACCACCATCAATTTCCTGACTATTATATTGTACTATAGTTACATAAGGGGAAACTGGGTGAAGGGTTCATTAAACCCCTTTGAGCTACTTCAACTGTTTTCTGTGAATCAATAAATTATTTCAAAATAAAAATATTTTCCAAAATTAAGCAGATACCTGGGCATGGTGGTGTGTGCCTGTAATTCCAGAGGCTCAGGAGGCTGAGGCAGAAGGATCATGAGTTCAAAGCCAGCCTCAGCAAAAACAAGGCACTAAGCAACTCAGTGAGACTCTGTCTCTAAATAAAATACAAAATAGGGCTGGGAATTGGCTCAGTGGTCAAGTGCCCCTGAGTTTAATCCCCAGTAACACCCCCCTCCCCAAATTAAGGTGTGGTGGCGCACACCAGTAATCCCAGTGACTCAGAAGGCCAAGGCAGGAGGATTGCAAGTTCTAAGCCAGCCTTAGAAATTTAGTAAGGACCTAAGCAACTTAGCAAGACCCCGTCTCAAAATAAAGAACAAAAAGGGCTGGGGGTGTAGTTCAGTGTTAAAGCACTCCTGGGTTAAATCCCCAATACCAAAAAACAGACAAAAAAGCAGATTAATTTTTAAAAGCTACATTAAATTCAATTTACACTTTCTTAGACTGTACAAAAAGTACCTTACAAGCTGAATCATCAGTTTTCATTGTCTTGTATATACTCAGAAGGGTCAATCAATAGAGTTCTGACTATAGAATGTCAGTAAAATTATTTACTAAATTCAGCTATGTTTTCCTCTTCAACAAAGCATCTAAGCTATTTTTTTTTAATCTGGCCAGAACAAAAGTATATATACCATAAATGAGATTTTTTTAATATTTATTTTTTAGTTGTAGTTGGACACAATACCTTTATTTATTCATTTTTATGTGGTGCTGAGGATCAAACCCAGGGCCTCACACACACTAGGTGAGCGCTCTACCGCTGAGCCACAATCCCAGCCCCATAAATGAGATCTCTAACTGGTACTTCCTGTTTTTCTACCTTCCCCTGCCCACTTTTTGGTGCTAGAGATTAAACTTCAGGCCTCACACATGTTAAACACATGCTGTGCCACTGAGCTACACTCCTAGCCCCTGACCTCACTTTTTAATAACATCAAATTTAGAGATATAATTTAAGTATGATAATATTTATGCTTTTTATATACTTGGTTTTCCAGTTTTATTTTTGGTGCTGGGGATTAGAGCCCAGGCTTCCTGCATGCTAAGCACTTGGTCTACCACTAAGCTATATCCCCCAAAGAGTACCACTACCACAATCAAGATATATATTCTTCCATTATCCCCCAAATTCTCTCATGCCTCGTTCCATATTCAACCCTCTCACACCATCCCCTCCCCTGATACCAACCAATTTGGCGGGTTTTTTTGTCCCATAGTTTTGTCTTATCCAGAATTTCTTATGAGTCACTTGAGTTTGACTTCTTTCACCTAGTATAAGGCCTTTGAGAATTGTACAAGTATCAATAGTTCATTCTGGTTTGTTGCTGAATTTTATTCTGCTGCATTAATGTAATACCCATTTGTCTATTTATTCATCAGTTGAAGTATATTCAGGTTGTTGCCAGGTTTGAGCAATTATGCAAAAAGCTGCTATAACCGTCTAGGTACAGGTTTTTGAATGAACATAAGTTTTTGTTCATCTTGATTAAATACCCAGGAGTGGTATATGATGTGGTAAATATATGATTAACCTCACAAGATGCTGCCAGACTTTTCAAAAAAGTGTACTATTTTTCATTTCTCCCAGCAGTGTATAAGATTTCCATTTCCTCCACATCCTCCCCAATACTAAGTATTATCATTTTTAAAAGCCTTTTTAGTGGGTATGTAGGGGGTATCCCACTGTGGTTTTAATATGCATTTCTTAAATGATTAATTATGTTGAGCATCTTTTCATGTGTTTAATTGCTATTCATATTGTGTGTGTATGATGTCTTTTCAAGTCTTTTGCCCATATTTTATATCAGATTGCTTGCTTTTTTTCTTTTTGAATTGTGAGAGTCAATTCACACTTGTGTGCTGGATACCAGTCTTTTGCCAGATATGTGCATTGTAAATGTTTTCCCCAGTCTATGGCCTGCCTTTCACTTTTGTAACTATTTTTTCAAAGAATAGAAGTTTTAAATTTTTATAAAGTCTAATGTGTCAAAATTTTCTCTTATAGATCATACTTTTAAAAAATATTTATATTTTGGTTATAGTTGGACACAATACCTTTATTTTACTTATTTATTTTTATGTGGTGCTGAGGATCTAACCCAGGGTCTTGCCCATGCTAGGCAAGCACTCTACTGCTGAGCCACACCCCAGCCCCTGGCTCATACTTTTTTATGAATATCTGGAAATCTTTGCCTTACCAAAAGTCAGAAGGATTTTTTCTCCTATACTTTCCTCTAGAAATTTTATAGTTTTTTACCTTTAAGTCAATGATCCATTTTACGTTGTTTTTTTTGTATATGATGTAACTGTTAATATTTCCAAAACACACTCTCTCTCTCTCTCTCTCTCTCTCTCTCTCTATATATATATATATATATATATATATATATATGGTTATAATAATTTTTAAAAACTTTGAGGAAGGCACAGTAGGAATTTTAATCCCTATTTCACAGATGAAAAAATTAATTAGAGAAGTGCTATGTAACATCTCAAGGTTCCACAGCTGATAAGAGGTAAAATTGTAATGAAAGTCCAGATTTCCTGATGCCCTCAGCCAGTGTTTTGGGAGTCAGGCATCATGGGCTCAGGACAGGGCCCAGAAGTGAAGATTCCTGGTGGGGATTTGAGCATCCTACTTGGCACTAAGGTATGGGACACAAGTGGTAGACTAGCACTAACTTCACTCCAGTTGTGCTCCTCTGGCCTACCTGGGGCTCTACGGTTGAAGAGAGCCAGAAGCTGATCCAGAGCCCTACTTAGCTGACACTCAATGAATACTTTTTGATGATGATGATGATGAAGACTTGGAACCTGTTCAGAAGAGAATTCTGAAAATACGGAGTTGGAAATTAAAGCTAAGAAGAAAAATTAAGGAACTACGATTATTTATCCTGGAAAAAAGAGGCTCAAGATGAAACTTGATAATAGCCTTCAAACAAACAAATGAAAAAAGAAAATTCAGGTTTTCCTTCTGAGGGCTGAGCAAGGGGAAATGGTCTGGAAGAATCTAAGTAAAATGGCAAATTTCTTTCTCCCTGGTCAGGATTGTTATAGATACTTAGATTTTATTTTATTATTATTATACTAATAATAGTAATTATTATTATCCCCAGCCCTTTTTTATTTTTAATTTCATGACAGATCTCTCTAGGTTGCTTACAGCCTTGCTAAGTTGTTGAGGCTGGCTTTGAACCTGCTATCCTCCTGGCTCAGCCTCCTGAGCAGCTGGGATTACAGGCATGTACCACCACACCCAGCTGATACTTAGCTTTTAAAAACAGGATACTCTCACTGGGCATGGTGGTACATGCCTGTAATCCCAGAGATTTGGGAGATTGAGGCAAGAGGATCACAAGTTTGAGGCCAGCCTCAGTAACCTTGTAAGATCCTGCATTAAAATAAAAAGGGATAGGGGCATATCTCAGTGATAGAGTGGCCCTGAGTTTAATCCGCAGTACCAAAATAAAATAAAAACAGGACTTACTGTTTGAGTTGGAATCAGAGATTTGCCAAACATGGGTTCTGATGGAGGATTTTAGGATGAGGTTACATAGCCCTCTTGCACAGTGTCCTTAGAAATCTTTAGGTGGCCCCTGAATCTTCTCTATACCCTAGTACAATTCCAGAAGATTTTTGTCTTGGCCTTCTCTGCTCCTTAGTCTTAGCATCTTCACAGAGTCGTCCCAATGACTAAGACAAACCTGACTATAGCTCCTAAAAGCTAACCCCCCATGCTCCTTGCCCTTGAATCCAGGCAGCCCAGTGCCTAATGCTACAGATCTGGCTTAGTGTCCCCAAAAAAGGCCTAAAATGTTGGCAAGTCCAAATGTGACCCCAGCATTGGGATCCCCTGTTTTATAATATCTAGCATCTGCTTGCATACCTTTCTGACCAGCAGAGACCAGCAGGCTGACAATGCAGACCAATGCAATGACTCCCCTGAATAGCCAGAGAAGAAGAACTGAGATACCAGCAGCATAACCAGGTACCACATTAAGCTACAGTGTCTTTGTGCTTCTTTTCTCTGCAGCATGGGTAGGAGCCCTTGCGATGGGTATGATCTTCTTCTGTTCTCCCATTGTGAGTATATTCACTGACCGACTGGGCTGCCGAATCACAGCCACTGCGGGCGCTGCTGTTGCTTTCATTGGCCTCCATACCAGCTCCTTCACCAGGTAAGGCTAGGAGTTGCTGGCTGTTTCTCCACTGGCTTCTTTTTCGACTTCAGCTAGAGACACTCTTCTCATTGTAGGATCCTCTATGGCCCTGGCCATGTGGGACTCTCAAAGACCCTGCTCCCAGGATTCATAATGCAATGGATTCATCTAGGTAGGGTCTGAAGGACACATTTGAAGGGAATATCCCCAAAGAGGACCCAAGAGTTCCAAAGAGTTGGGAGGAGCCTAAGCCTGATAGTTCATAGACCTGGGTCCAAGCCCAGTTTTTGCCACTAAATGGCTATGGAAAACTGATGGGTATCATTCCCCTGTCTGTGCCTCAATTTGTCTATCTATAACATGGGAGAATTAAACCAAATGATCTTTCCAGGATTCTCCAAGCTATACCACTCTATTTCCTTTCAATGTACCTCACATGTCATGAGCTTGCCTTTCTTCCCAGGAGTGAACTCTTGAGTAAGCCTCTAGTATTCGAGAATTCTTGAAGGGATCCAATCCTGAAAAAGCAGTCAGCTGAGCCCAAAGCTATTTAACATGTCTGGCCCTTTCCCAGATATCTCTGGCTGCCAATGGATAGATGATTTGGGGCAGATAAAGATTTATGTCTTTGACATGATAAAGATGTTTAACAGGGCTGCCATTGTGGCTCAGTAGTAGTGCGCTCGCCTAGCAAGCGCAGGGTCCTGGGTTCAATCCTCAGCACCACCTAAAAACAAATAAAGGTATTGTGTACAACTACAACTAAAAAATAAAGATTGAAAAAAAGATGTTTAACAGCATCCCTCATTGAGTTACAGACCCAGAACCCAGCAGCCCAGCTGGGTATAGGCTAACATACTAATGTTGATCAAAGGTAAATTTGAACCCTAGTCCTACTGCTCCCCACTGGCAGAACTAAGAAACATGCTTTAAGTTCATCTGTGCTTTCTAACCAGTCCTGCAGAAGTATGTGTATAGGGGATGGGAGAATAAAGACCCTACATCATAGTTGGAGGAATATGGGGTTCCTAAAGAACTCCATTTTCTTTCTTCCAGACACTTTAGAACTTATGGCACCTCCTCCTTCCAGTCTTCCTGGGCTGATGTAGGAAAATGCTGGGCTGGAGACAAGGAAGTGGCCACAGTAACATGTTTGCAATGGGGGCAGAGCTAACTTGTCAGAAACTTGCTCTCAAAGCATAAGGTTCCACTCACGGTAGAGAATGATAATTGTGTTCTGCCTCAACTGGGCTCCTTGAGGGTGAGCAGCATTTTTGGCTGCTCAGCCTGCCCTCCAGCAGAGCTCAGATTTGGCTTGCAATGATTTCTTGCCTCCATCCCATCAAATTGGGACAGAGGAGGGAAAATCATGCCCTGCTTGGAACCTGCTCAGCCCTCCCAGGACAGCAGCTTCAAACATTTTCAAGACCCCTCTAGTGGTCAGCCTCATTTGCCCCCAGCAAGCTGGTGCCTGGTTTCTTGTGGGGAGGAGCTAGCAACTCCATTCTCAGTACTGCACAGCAGAGGCCTGTTGCTTGAGGCACAGCAGAGCAAAGTGTAAACAAATTAGCAACATATGGATCCCATTTCCTTTCCAATTCACATGGGCTCAGTCACAGGAGGGGAGGGAGCTCAGATGTGGTATTTTCTTCTGGAATTTTTCTTTAGGCACACTGGAGTAGGCGTTCTGTTCTCTAGCCCCTGACCCCTTACCCCATTTGCTCTTTCTGTAAGAACATTTCCAGAGCCAAGAAACTTTCTGGATGGCTTCACATCTAGTGGAAAAATGGTTCTACTTGTGGCTAGAGCTCCAAGTCATCCTTCCTGTTGTCTCAGTCAGAGCTCTGAGTTCCTCTGGATGACATGGAACTGGGTAGAGTACAGGCAGGGCTGATGAGGCTTTGGCAAGCCCAACTCAGGAGCCTACTGTCCTGTGGCCCAGCTAGAAACAAATTCACCACACAGCACCCTAACTAAATCTCATGTTTTGCCCATACAGGCCCCTCTCTGAAGGTCTAGCTTCTCTCCCTAAGATAAGTCCCATCCCAGACCAATCCCATAGAGTACCTAGAATCTAATGGAGGAAGCCTCAAGGAACCTGACAGAAGAGCAATTGGCTTAGCTATGTGTAACAGGTAGAAACAGCCTGTTTGGAACCAGAACCCCTGACCACATCCAGTGATTACAAGCAGACAGAAAGTAACAGTTATGAAAGCTATCTTGGAATCATGGGGGCTAACACCACATCTTCTCTGCAGCATAGCCTGAGTCCTTGAGTATGAAGACTGGGTCTATCTCTAGGGAAGAACTGCCTGGCCAAGAAGAGTATTGGGTAATAAAGTGGCCAGATAAGAACTCTTGCAAAATATATGGAGGCATCAAAAGGGAAACAAAACTCTTCACTAGGTTGTGCCAATATTGTCTGGGGGCAGATGACTGGCCAAGCTGACCTTCCCATGGCCTTTCCCCTTCTGACACTTTGCCTTCTGTTACAGAGGCTTATGGCCACAACAGGGCCTAAGGGTTTTAAGGCAGGACCTGTCTTACTTGGTCAGGCCCACAACTTCTTTGAGGCTACACTTTCTTTCAAGCAGCCATTCTACTCTGGGAGAACTAATAAATACCATGTCCAGAAAGATAGGCAGTACTCTGGAAATTAAAGGGACTCCTTACCCTGTTATCCCCATGGATATCATCCAGGACCTAGGGTTGCTGGACCTTGGGAAGAGTTGGGGAGTGGCTGTCTCTCAAATCATCATCCATTCTCTGAAATACTAAGGTCCCTGAATGTGGAGAAAGACATTGAAGAATCCTATGGAAGTTTCAGCCTTCAAGGATTTTGGCTCCTTGCAGACCTTTGTTGTTACTTGGAATAAAGCTTTGGCCACCAGCCAAAGTGGTGTCTAGGTGAGCAGTAGTCATGACCAGTTCCATGTCATCCAGAGGAACTCAGAGCTCTGACTGAGATAACAGGAAGGATGACTTGGAGCTCTAGCCACAAGTAGGACCATTTTTCCACTGGTTGTGAAGCCATCCAGAAATGTTCTTACAGAAAGAGCAAATGGGGTAGGGCATCAGGGGCAAAACTGCTTTAAGGCACTGACTTAACTCCCTGTAGCCCCTTATATAGCCTTTGTATAGGCTGGTTATGGCTTTGTTTTGAACAACCATGTTTGCTAGGGTGCTGCAATTCATGCTAGATACACAAAGACGTGTACTCAAGTCCAAGCATTATTGATCCCCAGTTACATTACCTTGGGTAAATCACCTCTCTGAGCATCTGCCTCCTCACTTGCAAAATGGGGATCAGAAGGTCCAATTCCTTTGGTGTAACACTCTGGAAAGCAGTATGGAGATTCCTCAAAAAACTAGGAATGGAACCACCATTTGACCCAGCTATTACACTTTCAGTATATAACCAAAGAATTTTAAAATCAGTTTACTATAGTGATGCAGCCACATCAATGTTTATATCAGCTCAAATCACAATAGCTAAGTCATGGTGCCAACTTAAGTGCCTTCAACAGATGGATGGATAAAGAAAATGTGGTATATATACACAATGGAGTATTACTCAGCCATAAGGAAGAATGACTTTATGACATCTGCCAGTAAGTGGATGGATTTGGAGACTATCCTGCTACGTGAAGTAAGCCAGTCCCCCAAAACCAAAGGTTGAATGTTGCGGTGAGGTGAAGAATAGAAGTATAATATATTACACAAAGGGGAATAGAAGGAAGGGAGGGGGGATAGGAAAAGGAAAGACAGTGGAATTAATTTGACATAATTTTCCCATGTATTTGTATGAAAACATCATAGTGAATCCCACCATCATGTACATCCATAAGAATAGGATCCTAACTAGAATAAGATATATCCCATGCTTGTATAATTGTATCAAAATGGATTCTACTGTCATGTATAATTAAAAAAAAACAGTAAATAAAAAAAGAAGGCCCAATTCCTTGCCTGCTCTGAGGGTCAATGGCAAGTGGGGCTTGGGTTAAGGGATGGAGGTTCTCAAGAGGCCAAACTGGGGAGGCAGATGGTCAGGCTGCTGAGGATAGCTCTCTGTGTCTCTCCCACAGCTCCCTAAGCCTGCGCTACTTCACGTATGGAATTCTGTTTGGTTGTGGCTGTTCCTTCGCCTTTCAGCCATCCCTCGTCATCCTGGGCCACTACTTCCAACGCCGCCTGGGTCTGGCCAATGGTGTGGTGTCTGCTGGGAGTAGCATCTTCTCCATGTCCTTCCCCTTCCTCATCAAAATGCTGGGGGATAAGATCAAGCTGGCCCAAACCTTCCAGGTGCTGAGTACCTTCATGTTTGTTCTTATGCTGCTCTCACTTACCTACCGGCCCCTCCTGCCCAGCTCCCAGGACACCCCAAGCAAGAGAGGTGTCCACACCTTGCACCAGCGCTTTCTGGCTCAGCTCAGGAAGTACTTCAACATGAGAGTGTTCCGCCAACGCACTTACCGCATCTGGGCCTTTGGGATTGCTGCTGCTGCCCTTGGCTACTTCGTTCCTTATGTACACCTGGTGAGGAAGACCTGCCCTGAACCTGCCTGGAGTCCAGAGGGTAGGGGTGGGGGATACTGAAAGGGCAGAGCTGAGACATTTGGAAAAAGAAACAGAACAGTGGTTGGAGATAACCAGAGAGGGACAGAGCACAGATCAAGGGAGGACCCCAAAGGAAAATGGGGGGAGTTCCTTATGGGAAGGTCCATACATTATGGTTTCCCTCACAGTGAAAAAAATTAGACAAAAAAGGCTGGTTGTCAATAAAATATTAAGTAAATAAAAATAAGATGCAAAAACAATTAGACAGATTTTGGGGAGATACGCAGATTGGGATATAGGAGACTGGCCCAGATGGTCTGACAGAGTTTTCTATTTTTTTTAAACTATTTTTTAAAAATATTTTTTAGTTGTAGATGGACACAATATCTTTATTTATTTTTATGTGGTGCTGAGGATCAAACCCAGTGCCTCACACATGTGAGGCAGGCGCTCTACCACTGAGCTACAGCCCCAGCCCCTGAGAGAGTTTTCTACGACTGTGTGGAATGCTGGTCTTTGTGGTCACATGATTTTGTTTAAAAAATAGCACATATTAGATCTAACTTCATGATGTGTAGTAACCTCTTTAAGGTAATAACAAATCCTGTATTAAAAGAACCCATTCAGCTTTGTTTACTCCAGCATTCACTAAACTTCTATGCCACAGAACTTTCAGTTGTTTCAGTAGAGAGTCCTGAATATGCCAACAATTAACCAGTCAGCTTTTCTTCCACCTTGTGTTCTGAGGGTCCTGGTATCCTGCTTTTCAGATGAAGTATGTGGAAGAGGAGTTCTTGGAAATCAAGGAGACCTGGGTGCTCTTGGTGTGTATCGGGGCTACCTCAGGCCTTGGGCGTCTTGTGTCAGGCCATGTCAGTGACTCCATTCCTGGACTTAAGAAGATCTACTTGCAGGTGAGTGTGACCATATGTACACTGTGAGGAAGAATAGCTTGCCACAGGTTATCTCTAGGCTTTGGAACAGATTGGTAGGGTGTGCCACTGCAGTTCCCTGGGCCCTTGTGTGACACAAGAAAGTCAATCCAATTCTCTGAGCCTCAGTTTCCCTTGTTTTCAAGCAAAAGCAATCATCCTTGTTATGCTTCCTTTACCAAGATGGAATGTGTACCCAGTAAAATCAGTGTATATGGAAACTTTTAGAACATTTTACAGGCATTTTAAAAAATTAATAATAGGTGTTCATCTGAAAACAAGAAACTGAGGCCGGAAGTTAAATGCAGACCCCAGTAAGGACTGATTTCATTGCTACCGTACACTCTCTTGGAGGACTGTAGGCAACTATAACACTCCGTGTGACCCAGCATCTCTCTCCTCTAGGCCCAGGCTCAAGCCTATCATGTCTCATACTTCCAGAGCTACTTGGCATCAAGCACTGGTTCTCTTCCTCTCTCTGGTACTAGGGATTGAACCCAGGGGTGTTTTGCCACTGAACTATATCCACAGCCCTTTTAATTTTTTATTCTGAGACAGGATCTTGCTAAGCTGCCGAGGCTGGTCTTGAACTTGTGATTCTCCTGCTTTAGCCTCCCAAGTTGCTGAGATTACAGGTGTGTGCCACTGTGCCCGCCCAAGCAATGGTTCTCAATTGCCATCCTCTCAGTGGAAATCAAAAACAAAAGGCCAGAAAAGGCCAGACCTTACTTCCCCTCTTTAGTCCTCACTGTACTAATTTATGCAACGAGATAATTCTTTGCTTTCCTATCTCACCTTACAGGTGAGGATCAAAAGAAATGCAGTATTACCAGGTTTTAATCCTTCTGACAGTGACACAGTTTCCTCATATTGTGGGCAGCAGAAACATGGATGCTCCAGAGGCCTCTTTCTGTGTGCACTGGGCCCTGTTTTGATTCAAATATAGACTACTACTACTCAGGTTGTCCGTCTTTGGCTGGCTGGCAGCAATAATGTCTTCCTGATCTGTCTCATGCTTTTTGCTCCTATAGCTGGTCTTATCAGAAGGTTCCTAAGTGTGGAACCCTGTGGGAAGGGCAAAGGCAGCCCCAAGAAACAAATAGTCATGAATTATCCATCCAGAAGGTGGTTGTGTTTGGACTGAATGCCTGGGAAAGCCCTAAGGGCACTTCTAAGGGGCCCTGAAGATACTCACAGCAGGGATTTATCTGTCCCAAGTGTGTTCCTAAATACCCTCAGTTGTTTTGGATAAGGACATGATTAATTTTTTCCTGTTGTGTTTAACTCCTGTTAGTTTGAGAGATCTGGCCAATCTTCTTTGCCAGAGCTGTAGATGCCCTTCGTGTCCAGCCAGGCTAAATTCTCATGGCACTGATGGAGAAACTGAGGGAAAGGCTTCTCAGACAGTAATGGCAGAGCTGAACTCCTGTGAAGCACTCTTCTCATATCACACCTTACCCTAAGTGACGGATGACAGAGTCAAGTTTCAGAAATAATAATTGACTTGACCAAGGTCAAACCAAGAGCCTATGATTGGGATTATGAAATTTTGAATTTCTGTGCAAATATCAGCAAGTGCTTTATCTGGGTGGCTTTCTGCATTGGGAATATGCATGTTCTTCCAGCCTCTTTCACAAGCCCCCACTCGCCATGGGTCTTCCCTGCCACTATTAGCCAAGATGCCAAAGGGTTCTGGAAATCAGAGTAATCTGGCACTGAGCCAGGGCTTTATCTTGAGGAGAGGCAGCAGCCCCTGCCTAGCCATATAGCTCACATGCTTCTCATTATAGTCTGCAGGAGAGAGATGAGGCCCCAGCAGCTTTTGCTTTCTGTTGTACAGCAGGATTTCCAAGGGACTGGGAAGCACTGCTGGATGGAGGCCAAGTTAGGCTGGAATTCAGTGTTTCTGGTAACTTTTCCCACCCTCTGCTCCTGCTCCTTTTCCTTAGTCTTACTTGACCCAGTTTTACCACTTAAAATAATATAAAACAATCTTAGAACATTATAGTTGAAACACATCTTCATCAACTTATAGTTCAACTCTTTCATTTTGCAAATTGAGTGTTTCAGGCCAAGAGCACAAGACAATGGATAAACTGCTCCTTTCTCTTGAGTTTCTCAACAGACTCCATCACAGGAATTGTTTTTTTTTTTTTTTTTGTCTCTGGGTCAGTTGCAGGAGTACAGGTCTGGGAGAGAAAAGGAGGATATACAGCCTCAGGTTCTGAAAAACCACCCATTAGACCCTGTGGTTCTTACTATTCGTGAAGACAGGCATACATGCCTGGCATTTAGCCTCTGCACAGTTTGTTGGCAAGAAAATGGTGACAACCTGCAAGAGAGCCCCACATTGGACCAGTTCTTGAGGCCTAATTCCCAGTTCCAAGAGGGATTTTTTTTTTTATTTCTAAACTTTGGCAAGGCCTCCTAGAGTATGTTAAGAGGCAACTAGATACAATAGGTAGCAATTAGAGCTGATTAAAATCAGTTAATGCCATCCTTTGTGTTATATAATGGTATTAACTCTTAATTACCATAATGGGCTTGGTTGATAGGTGGATCTGGTTTTATCTCATAGTTGTGTGTGAAGCTAGAGTGTCTCCTGTTCTTATTCCTAAATTCTGCCTACCTACCTCAAAACAACGTGGTCAAGTTCAAAGTTTCCCCAAAAAAGAGATGTCCTCAGATGGCATTATCCTCTCAAAAACCCAACTAATCCACCTAACAAACCCACTGTGAGCAACAATATAGAAAATCTTTTTTTCTCTTTGTAGATATGAGGATTGAACCCAGTGGCACCTACCACCCAGAAACATTCCCAGCCTTTGTTTTCTGTTTTTTTTTTTGTATGGGGAGCCACACCCCCAGTCCCATTTTGTTTTTTATTCAGAGACAGGGTCTTACTGAGTTGCTTAGCACCTCCATTGCTGAGGCTAGCTTTGAACTTGCAATCCTCCTATCACAGCCTCTCAAGCCTCTGGGATTACAGGCATGCGCCACAGTTCCTGGCCTCCCCCAGCCTTTATTTTTACTTTTTGAGACGGGGATCTCTAAATTGCTGAGGCTGGCCTCCCACTTGCAATCTTCCTGTCTCAGCCTCCTGAGTCTCTGGAATTACAGGCATGCTCACCACACCTGGCTGCAACACAAAATGTCTTTAGAACCTTAAACAGACTTGACCTTCACTCCTCCCACAAGTTCCTGGGCAAATTGGCCTGCTTATTGACCAACTACGAACTATTGGCAAATCCTTGGGCCTCTTAAGGCCTTAGTAAACAGATCAGGTCTTAGCCTTGGCCCTGGGATAACCTGACTCTGCTGGCTGCAGAGATTGGTGGAGGGGCAGGCAGTGCTCCTTTCTCTGCCTGCAGCCAAGGTCTTCATTCAACTCCACAGGCACAAGTTGCAAATAACCTTTATCAAAAGATCGGCTGTTTCCTGTGACCCTTCTCTGTTGAGAGAGAAAAACCAGCCACTGCAAAGTGATTGTCTTTGTTTTGGAGTCAATTTTTTTTCTCAGCCCAAAAGAAGGCCCAGTGACTAGTCAGTGCTCCTGGTCTGGATTTAAGCTTCCTAGACACCCACCTACTAGCTTAGTTTTCCTGAAAGGCCCCTTTGTCGCCTTCTCAGGGTGTCCAGCCAAGCCCAGAGGCCCCCAGGGACATGCTGCCTGAGGTGTTTGAGACAGGTGATGTGTCGCATGTCCTAAAGCATAAGGAACCTGGGTGAACCCCCTAATGGTTTCTTTCATGTCAAGGTGTTTTCTAAAATCTACCCCCACCAAAATGGGCATTGGCTCCTTCCACATTTTAGAAAGCCATACCTTTCTTTATATCCCCTATCTAGTCATTGTGCAAGCCATCCTCCCTCTTCCCCTTCCTTTTCCCATACCTTACTTGAATCTGAGAATATCAATATGACCTGATCCCAGGTCCTGATACCTGAGACACTCAGACATAGGCTCAGAAAAAAAAAAAAAAAAAAAAAAAAGCATTCCCTTTATCTCAGGATCCAATGCAAAGACCAACTTCTTGAGGCCAGGGGCCATGTCCTCCCTTTCTTTAGTCCTGCTAGATTCAGTTAAGTTGGGGCTCTCACAAAGACTTTGAACCCTTCATTGAAGAACTTAGAAGGGGCCTGAGTAACTGCTTAATCCAACTGCTGTCCTTGTTGACACCCTGCTTCCCCCAACCCATTTTATAGATGGTAGAAATGAAGATCTGAAAAAGGACATGTTATGTGCTATGTGGTCTTGCCTGGTCAGCACAACATGACCACAGGCCCTTGCTCCCCTAGGTCCTCTCCTTCCTGCTCCTGGGCCTGATGTCCATGATGATTCCCCTGTGCCGGGACTTCGGGGGCCTCATCGTTGTCTGCCTCTTCCTGGGCCTGTGTGATGGCTTCTTCATCACCATCATGGCCCCCATCGCATTTGAGCTGGTGGGCCCAATGCAGGCCTCACAGGCCATTGGCTACCTCCTGGGCATGATGGCCCTGCCGATGATTGCTGGGCCCCCCATTGCAGGTGAGGTTGATTTCCAGGGAGGGCATGAGTCAGAGACCCGTTTTCCATAGGCTCTATCTCTGTTTAAGGTCCCCTTTCCTCATATTTTCTGCATAAGCAGCCTTGTCAGAGTGCATGAAACCCCTTACCACCATTGGTGAAGGAGATTAAACACAGTACACAGGCATGGATTCATTTGGGGGGGATGGGTTTTCCATGGTGGTGTTTCAGTGGGGTTTTATTATAGTCAGCATGGCTCCTTCCAGGAAAGTAGAGGGAAAAATGGGTTTGACCTTCTTGACCATTTTATTTGTCCAGTGTTCTCTTGCTCTCCTCACAGTTAAGTGATTATTTAAGGTAGCTGAGTAAAAGAGGTAGGGAAAAAAAAGAAAGCTGGCCCTAGTTTTATTAAAACTTTGAGATGTCCTTCTCTTCCTCCTCCTCTACTGGCTTAGGAATTAAACTTATTAAGGAAACACCCCAAGACAGAGCCAGTGAAGTTCACCTCCAGCAGGCAGCAGGCAAAGTGCTGGTGTGCCATTTTTCAGCACTCCTAGTTTCCCCCTCCATCCTCCCAGGAGAGCACTGTTGGTAACCGAGGGAACATACGAAATAAGAAACCCAATGAAGAGAACTTCATTTCCTTTCTAGGGATTTATTACAAACACTGATTCATGGGTTAGCCTCCCCTAAGTTGGTCAAATGGGCTAATTCAACAAATACTCCTTGAACACCAATTATGTACAAGGTGTTGTGAGGGTGCCATGTGACAGTGGCAAAAGGTTTCATTCAGGCTCTTGTGCAACAGTCACACTGCTTACTGGGGGAGGGGAGGCTCTATCCAGTCCCTGATGGCAACAGTGGTCCAGAATCAACAACTCTTTCCTTTTTGCTTGTCTCCTGAGTAAGCAAAGGGACAAGGGCATCCTTGCCTTTGCTTCTGGGCTCATCCTCCTTATGAGGTAGCTCATGTTAGCTTCTGGAGGTGAACAGGAAGAGGCCTTGCATCCCATGCCAAACACATCCATGGTATTGGCAGCTTAGAGAGGAAGCCAGAGGGGCCAACCATATCTATAACTGAAAAAAAAAAAAAGACTTGTGTGACTTCTTCCTAGGGGAACTGGAACTTCAGAGAAAGGGAACCTCAGAGAAAAAGTAAATAGGGACTCAGCTAAATTGTTCCACGAGAATAAATGGGAGTAGGGGTGGGGAATATCACTGTGAACAGACACAAGGCTTGGCCTTCCTTCCTTGGAATTATTTTAAACTAGATTCCCTCCTAACACCATCCCTAGGAATGACTGGAAGGTAGCTATAGCTTGATGAAAGTTACAAATGTGGAAATCTTAAGAGGGGCTTCATTCTCTCCTTCCATAATAAGCATTTAGCTCAAGGGCCCATAGCCCCATTACCTCAGGGAGGAACCACTTGCCTTTAAGTTGAGGGAACTCCCAAGTCAAGACAGTGCAGGCCAAGATTCTCTGGATAAGCACTGGGATGGCCCCTAGAAGAGGCAGAGAGCAATTTTGGGTGGTAGGGAAAAGCTGAGCTTGACTTGTGTCTCTTGACTGTTTCAGGCCTCCTCCGCAACTGTTTTGGGGACTACCATGTGGCCTTCTACTTTGCCGGTGTGCCCCCCATCATTGGGGCTGTAATCCTCTTCTTCGTCCCTCTCATGCATCAAAGGATGTTCAAGAAAGAGCAGAGGGATTCCAGCAAGGATAAGATGTTGGTCCCTGATCCAGACCCCAATGGGGAGCTGCTGCCAGGCTCCCCAAACCCTGAGGAACCAATCTAATGCCTCTTTCTTGCCATTGTGTGCTCCTCCCCAGCTCTTCCCCTGCTCAGCATTTACATTTTTTTGCCACCAGCACACTAGTTCCCAAACCTGTGCACACAGCATTTCAGCCACCTGACCACCCCCTTGGAGCCAAAGCTCTAGGTGTTCCAAACTCATTAACCAAATTTTCCCCATGAATGCCTTCAAACTTGCCAGGGCCCTTCTTCTCCCAGGAACCGGGAAAGCTTGAGATTTCCCCCTGGCCTTTGGAACCTCTCCATATACATTCTAACCCCTGGGGGAGGAGGATGATAGAACCTCCAGGCCCCAGCTTGTTAGTCGCCCACTAAAATTAACTGCCAAAGGTGCTACTGTGTCCCCAGGAGCCTAGTGGGAGAGACTCAAGCCTCTGATTACTGAGAAATTTATTGCCATTCATCCTTGGAAGCCATTTGGGTGGTGGGGGAAGGGAGGCAGAATGAGACAAGGAGCCTTATTTAGTCTCACAAGTTCCTGAGGTCTGTGGCTTCCCGAGAGCTGTATACAGGTAGTATCCCCATGATATGGTTGGTTAACAGTCTGTTTCTCTCTTCCTTTCCTTTGATTTTTCTCTACTGCCTCCTTTCCATTCTTTTCCCTCTCTATTTCTTTTTATGATTGTCACAGATTCAAGGTGCTTGGAGAAAGGAGGGACCCAAAGCTTGGGCCAATCAGCCTCATATTGGCTCAGTCCAGCCCTAACACTAGCATTAATCCCGTTCATCTCAGGCTGAGCCTCATCTCACTTTTTGGCTCAAGCTGATATAATCATAGACTGGAAGAGTAGAATATCACACAGGGAAAGGACCTTAAACACCACAGAGTTCCATGTTCCACCCACTGTTTTTTACAGATTTTCCAAGTCAATGCATTAACCTGGAGGCCTTCCCAGTCCCCCATCCTTGTATCCACCTGTCAAATGTGAATAAACTCCTTTCATCTCAGCAGGCAGAGGAGGACTAAGGACAGTGAGCTGGCGTGGTGCATGGAGGGCCAGTGGCTATTGACATAGTGAAAGACCAACTCCTCCATCTCTTAGTTTTCATGACAGGTCAATATTTCCACCTGGCCAGGACAGGAAATGGACTGTTTTAGGAAAAACCTCATTCAGAACCTGGATCCCCAAAGGTACAGGCAGCAGCTGCACACAGGGTTGGACACTTTCTTTTAGGAAGGGGAAGCCACCCTAGCTTTTACCACCAAGTGTTTCCCCCATGCTGGACATCCTGGGCCACTCTGCTTAGTGGGCATTAATGGTGCCAGGAAAGGTAGATTCTGGACCACCTTCTTCCCTCTGAAGTAGGTACCAGATGCTTCCCTATACCCAGGCTCTGTGCAACAATCTTACTGAAGAGCATTCCAGGTGCTCCTGGCTAGGGGCAGAGGGCTCTGCCAGGCTGTGTCCAGCTAGCACAGCTCACCTCATTAGGAGCTCAGCCTCTCTCTTTCCTCTGTCTTTGTGTCTCTTTCTCCCCTCTCTGGGCCTTTGTTTATTGTGTTCCTGTCACCCAACCTTTCATCATCTTTTTGCCAGGCACCCCTGGCTGTCACTTAGAGCCAATAGTAATTTGCCACCCTAAACCAGGGTCATCCTATGGCCAGGAGGATGAGGTTGCCCTGAGGGGCTCCAAAGAAGACAATGGTCCCCACACATGAATTTTTCCGTTACAAACAGGCAGCTGGGGCATGGTTGGCCTCTGAAAGTTTCATTCAAGGCCAAAGTCTGAGCCCCCCCCCCCACCTCTGCTGGTCTTAGTCCAGCTCTTATCAACTCCCTGAAGGAAAATCCACTGGTTCTTGGCTCTGTAAGTAGGAAAGGGCCTAGTTAGTAGCCTGTCAGCTCAAACAGCAGTGGAACAGGAGAAGATGGACTGCAGGAGCCCTGTAACTCCTGAGAGAGACCATTGGAAATACTAGAGCAACAATGCCCCTGCTTCCATTCCTCCCTGCCCCGCCCCCACTGAGATGCTGGAGGGTGGTCCTGCAGGGCCTCCTTTGTTGCTCATGACTGGATAGCTTTTAAAAATCAGGCTGCCACCCACTTCTCTCCAGTTGAAGGAAAGATATTCACAGGTCCCAAATCTGCCTATTCAGGTGTCACTTAACATTGACAGGGTGTCAATTTACTTCTTCCACACATGTGCATGTGCATGTGTGGGCTTGTGTGCTTTTGGAGAGAATTGTTGGTTGGCAAAAGCAGCACAGTATTAATATTTAGAGTAGGATGCAGCCTCTTAAGCACCACAGTTAAACCTAGGAGAACGAACAAAATTTCAGAGCTTGAGACCTGGGACATTTAAATCCTCAAGGGGTTTGGAACAAAATAAACAGATCTAAAAGTTTGGTTTTGGTATGGATGTTGCCTATAAGGGTGAAATAGTCAACCTGGTTAACAGCAGGAAGTTTGGCTTCAGAACTGAAGCCTCATTCCAAATCAGATTTCTGCCAGGGTCTGTGCTCTCTGAAAGAGCGGACATTTGAAAAAGAGAGGAGCTATATAAGGCTTTGGGTTTGGGTGGACTGTTTGAAACTTCATTTGCTAGGGAGCTCTGAAGTGGAAAAGTGGCTACTTTACAAAATGAGAACATGGTTACTGGCTGAGTCAGAGTAAAAGCCTGCCAAGGCCACCACCTTGCTATAAATGTGCCTTCCTGAAAATTGGCAATGACCTTAGCAATATTACAATTCAACCTCTTCTCTCTCCCTTATTGATAGGGAACCTGAAGAGATTAGTCTAGCTGGGTTACACAGCCCTACAGTAACAGCCTGGAATGGAGGGTGATACAGCAGAGAATGACAAAACTAGGAGTAAACTTAAAGTCTCACTTGTCCATATTCTGCATTGAATTTAAGTGGGGAAATTGAGGCCTAGAGAAACGAAGGGCCTGCTGCAGGTTCACACAGTTCATCAGAACAAGACTTGAACTCAGGTAATTAACTTCCAGTCCAATCCAAACCCCTTGTTTGCTAGATGAAGACACTGGCCCTAGAAAGGAAAAAAGGAGTTGTCCACTTCACTCAACCACACAGAAGCCCATTTCTAAAAGGGTGTCAGCAGGACCAGCTCTTAGTGGAAATAAAAGCTGAGCAGTGTGACTCTCAGCATACCCCATTGCTTCACAATTACTCTCATTCCCAATCTACACAAACTTTTGGTTTCTCCCTCCCATTCATTCTAGACCTTCAGGAAGCCTTGGCCTTGGAAGCTTCTTTCCACCAACTGCCTTTCTACTCTGAACACCAAGAGCAACGAATAAAGTCCGTCTCCTTCTGGCTGTGCAATGGCCAAGACAGGGACAAAGAGAAGAGACTGGCTTTCTTTGGGAGTGGGTGGTTTACCACCCAGTTCTTAGCTATTGCTGTTTCTCCTCTGCTTAGTGCAGACACCCTCAGGCTGCCGGCCTCCTCATCTCCTCCCACTGAGGCTAATTACTTTGTCCAGCTGCCAGGCCTCAGGCTCTCCCACCCAAGATCTGCCGCCCCTCCAGTCCCTCCCCCAGCAGCCCGAAGAGCTCAGTCTGTTTGATCACTCAGGATCGTTAGATTTCAAAGCTGTGGAATCCCATAATTTTTATGAGCATATGCTCTCCTCCAGGGCCTTTTCATGTCTGAAAAGGCAGCCAGCAGCTCCCTGCCACTTCTCCACAGTAGCACAGCAAGCCAGCTGACGGGGATTACAAATCCCGGGTGTCTGACAGCTGGTGCCCCATAGAGTGAGACTGGTTAGAGTAAGAACACTTGAAACAAGTTCTGCAATTGTAGCAGAGACCCCAGAGGAACAAGGAAAGGGATTAGATACCCAGGAGGTTGAGGAGGCTGTTCTTCAAAGGCCCTTGATTCCTGCCTTTCAGCTCTCTCTAGTGGTCATCAGATACAGAGCTCCAGGCCTGGTTGTCCTGTCTTTTCAGCAGTATTTCCTAAGAACCTGATGTGTGTCAGGCACTGCTAGAACCCAGGGACTTCAGGAATGGAAAAAAAAAAAAAAAGAAAAGAAAAGAAACAGAATTAGAGACAACAATGTGAGGCAACACAAGAAGGAATTTGTACTATCATTTTTCCAAAATATCTTCCTCCTCTGGGCCTTAGTGTCCTGGAGTATTACCACCCCCCACCCCCGACGTCAAAACTACTTTGACTACTTTGGGGCAGAGAGGGGACACCACGCCCCCACTCCCACCGAGGCGGGCGCGTCCCCTCCCCCCTGTGCTCCCCGAGACTGGCCTCCCGGGGGCCAGAGTCGCCCGGAAGAACAAATCTAGCTTCAGCGTCGGTTTCCTGCTGAGCCCGAGCCGGATAAAATTAGCCCATTGCTCACATCTAACGAGTGTCAGAGCCGCGTCCAGCTGGGGGAGGGGAGGCGGAGCCAGCCGGGCCTCTTTCGCGCCCTCCGGGGCCCGTGCCACCAGCCGACTGGCAGCACCTGTCGTGCGGTCCCTGCCCAGGGCCCCCTCGCTCCTCTGCTCCTGCCAGAGACCATGGCCCCAACCGACCTAGAAACCCGCGGGGCGACCCTTGCCCCCCTTTCCTACCCACCACACTCCCGCTCTATTTGCCCTCGCAGCATAATCGGGATCCAGGGGTGCTAATCGGTACCCTTCCCCACCAGGTCCCCTGGCCCGCCCCGCACTCTGGGGATGCCTGGGATGGAGACGGGGCTGAGGACCCCGGCTATGGCTCCTGGTCTTGTCGCCGGCTTCTGGTCATGTTGGGAGGGCAGCGGGGGGGTGCACGGGGTTGCTGCCCCTCGGCGGGCCTCTCTCCGTTCCCCCATCGGGGAGGGGTGACCACCCGGGAGCCGCGCCACGGAGACGCATCTGCCCCTGCTACTCAGACGGGAATCCGGCCCGCCCAGGGGCAAGGGGGCGGGAGAAGGGCAGGAGGAGCCAGTCTCCGCGCGCCAACTGGCCCGAGGGCCCGAGGGGTAGACGGCAGCTGCCCGCTAGCCCGGGCTCTGCTCCTCCCGCTCCCCCACCGCCCGGCTCGTGCCACCGCCACCAGTGGCTGCAGCTGCAGCGGCGACGGCGCCCCAAACTCACCCCCGCCAGCAGGGCGACTACTACACGAGGCGCTCCCCTTGGGCCCCTGAGAGCCCCTTCCGAGGGCCTCCCTCCTCCCTCCACCCGAAAGCGCCGTCCCCAAGGCCCCAGGGGTGAAGTCTGGCCGCTGCTAGCGAAGGGCCTACGTGAGCCCAGGCTCGAGGCCGCCAGGATGAGGGGCCTGGGGGCGGGGACCGCCCGGAGGAAACGCTCCTGCCGTCCTCTGCCCTCCTTTCCGACCTCCAACGCTGGGCCCGCCCCGCGGGGCCGCCTGCTCTCTGAGGTCAGCCAGTGGCGCTGCACCAGCCAAAGACTTGGCCCACCGCTCAATCCCCCGCCCAGCCTCGAGGAGACAGTCCCAGAGGAAGCGGGTGAGTGGCTCAGGGCTAGAGCGCACGCTTTGCATGCTCGAGGCCCGTGCACGCGTACACATACAGAACATAAAGTGAAACGAAACGACAGAAACAAAACTTCCTCAGAACTCTGGGCTTCCACCTCACGGGCTCAGGCCGGCTCCCCCACCACACAGTCCCACCAACTGCCCAGAGATCACACAGGTGAGCAGGCACAGTTGCCTAGGCTGGAGAACTCTCTTCGTGGTAGTGGTGGGAAGGAACACCTTGTGTCTGAGATCGGCCCTCCTCAATTTGCTCCTCACAGACACCCCTCCACCCACTCTCCACCAACCTGCTTCCTTAAGCCGAGGAACCTCCACTAAGGTGGATTGGCAGCCACCTGCACTACCCACACACTCACATAACACTCCCTTTCCCAAGGTGGAGGCTTCTGAGGAGGGCCAGCCTCACAGATCCTTCTTTCTTAAGGCCAGAGTTTCCTCCTGTCAGTCTGGGATCTCCCAGCTGTCTGCTTATTTCACACCTCTGCACTCTATACACACTGCAGACACTCCATCCCTCAGCTCCTGAATGAAGGGCCTCCCCCAGCGTAGCTGGACACAGAGGCCCCCTCTAATGGTAACAAGGGCTCCCTCACCTGTGGGTGGGCAATTTACAGTTCACATGTGCTCTCCTATCCTTCATCACACTTGACCCTCTCTCTTCAGCCAAGAGAGGCATCTGCTTTGTGTGTGTGTTGCTGGGGATTGAACCCAGGGCCTTGTGCATGCTAGGCAAGCACTCTATCAACTGAGCTACAACCCCAGCCTGAGGCAGCTGCTTTTAAGTTCCTTTCACAGATTGGGAAATTGAGGCCCAGTGGGAGCCAAATGCCATTTGTTGACTTTTGTTGTTAACATTATGTTGACAAAGCATAGGTGCTTCAAACAAATATATCTCAATTAACTTTTTCTATCCAACTGAGTTTTTCACAGTCCTTGCTAAACACAGTTAAGGGTTAAGCTAGTAGGAAGAAATCAAGGGCCGAAATTAAGAACCCCTTCTCCAAGGTGCTTCCACTCAACTTCATGGAATGTGAGAAAAATCTTTTTTCCCCCCTGACCTCTCAGAAAGCCTGCTTGCTGCTTCTAAAGTCAGTACCTGCCCCACCCCATGCCCACTCTGTTCCCCAGTGAAGGATCTGGACAGGGAGTGGGAATATAGCACCAATATGGAGGTATGAGGGACAGCGAAACTGAGCTAGAGTCCTTGTGCTTCTCCCTTCCCAGCCTCCCCATTGGAGGGCATGAGGAAAAGGAACTAGGGATCTGTCATCTGCCTTTCTTTTGGAGTACCTATCACTGCCTTTAGGGGTCCTCTGGCCTTCAAAATTGGGGTAAAACTCCAAATGAGCTCCCTTACACCTTGCTTTCTCAGTCTTTTTCTCTTCATATAATAAAATCATTACAACTTAATTTTCAGGGCCTTGCTTGATGTCTGTAGGCCAGAAAAAGGTCCTTTGTCTGGTCTAGTTATGGCAGGGGGAGGGGGACATGGAGTAGTTCCTGGGAGGCTCTGCTTTCCTGAAAAAGAACTTGTGTGTCTAAGATATCAACACTAGCTCAAGGGGTCTCTGTCTTTGAGAATTACAGCACTGGGCCAAGCTACAGAGGGGAAGGGAAAGAGCAGCAAATGTTATGCAAATAAGGGTAAAGGAGCTCCCAAGGTAGCATATGGGGAAGAGAAAAGGGTAAAACATACCCAAACCCCTGCCCACATGCTTTATTGAGGTGGACTTTTACTGTCTGTGCAGCTCCCCACCCCCATCCCCAAACTGGGGCTGTTATCTTCCACTGACTCCAGTTGACAGATTCCTTATATTTGCAGGAGAGCTTGGTGTTTTCTAGTATCCCCCACCCCTCACTGCTATTTTTCTTTGGGTTCTAAATCCCCTGATCATAATAAGTCTTTGCCTAAGGCTAGGAGTATAGCTCAATGTTAGAGCCTGTGCTTAGCAAGCCCAAGCCTTGGGTTAGACCCCTAGCACCAAAAGAAAAAAAAAAAACTTTGTCACCTCAAATAAGGCCTAGCCTAAGCCTTTCCTTCAAGGTGAGTAGTTTCAAGCATTCAAGGTTAGTACTCACCTGTCAACCACAATGGCTGGGTCCACAAAGCAGGGAGAGCCAAGTTTGATACAGGGCCAAGTTTCTGGGAAAGTCAAGTTCCAGGTAAAGCTAGTTCCAGTTCAGTACTTCTGTAAATAGTTGTAACTACTGAATTCCAAAAGCACTTTAACATTATGTTGACAAAGCATAGGTGCTTCAAACAAACATATCTTAATTAACTTTTTCTATCCAACTGAGTTCTTCACAGTCCTTGCTAAACACAGTTAAGGGTTATCCTAGTAGGAAGAAATGGTGGAGAGCTTTTAAATTGCTCTCTGTGAATCAGAGGTACCTCAAGTCCACTGTAATATGTGGAATGACAGAAGATTATATATAGAGTTATGGGCCTCTCTTCCCTTTGAGCAGATTAAGTTTTATCATTGAAAAATGGATTCTGCTGTTAAAAATTTAGGACAACTTTATAGCAGGGTGTGGTGGTGTATGCCTGTAATCCCAGCACCTCAAGGTCAAGGCAGGAGGATGGCAAGTTTGTGGTCAGTCTCAGCAACTTAGAGATACCCTGTCTCAAACAAAAATTACAAAAGTTGGGGATATAGTTCAATGGTACAGCTCCCCTGGGTTCAATCACTAGTATAAAAAAATTAAAACAATTTTTAAAAATTACTTCTAATCAAGACTTATGCTTCTGGAAAGACCGATTTTATGTATTTTTCTCTGTTCCTTCCTTGAAGAACAGCTTAAAATGCTACGTAGTATATAAAACAAACCCGAGACTCTGAAATGTGTAGAGAAGGCTGACCAGCTAGGGAAC